TATGTTTCTACATTTCTGTTTCTATGAACTTCACTGAGCATGATGCCCTTAGGTTTCATCCATGCTGTCACAAATTTCCTTCCTGCCATTTTAATCACTGAGTAATATTTCACTGCCGGGGTCCATCCTCGGCAGGATCCAGGGGATACCCTCAGGATGAAAGGCGTCGGCGAGAGAGTGAGTGAGAGAGAGAGAGAGAGAGAGAGAGAGAGAGAGAGAGAGAGAATGACCAGACAGGGGTGTAGAGAGTCTGGTAAAGTCTGGCAATGCTTTATTTTTTACCATGGCTTTTATACCCTAAATCAGTACATTTCTAAGGGGAAGATAGGTTAACATTACGTCAGCTTGTCCTTCACGAAACCAGGGTGTTTTCTGCATACTTCTTTGTTAATGAGGGTCTTGTACATTATCTTCTGGCCTTGGGGCCTATTAACATTTTATGCAAGTCAGGTGAATGTAAACCTATTTTCTGTTTCTCTGGTGACCTTAACTGAAAGGTAGCAGTCTCATAGGGCAACAGTACAGAGTAGAAGTATAATCTTGTTAACACAAAAATTAATCCTTCTGCAGAAGTTGTCAGTTGCGTTTATCTAAGAAGTTTACCCTATACTGACTCTGCGACTTTGGTGAGGCAGCGTCTGCCTAGCACTCCTGGCTGACAATTAACAACCATCTCATTGTTACCACACTAGGGCTAAGTCCTTATTTCTCTAGATCTTAAACTATATTAACAATGGTTTCTATAACACAACCTTAGCACATTAAAGGCAAAAACACAGCAAGCAAAACACAGCAAGCAAATCTCAACCCAATAACCACCTATAGAATAATTTTTCTTATGTTTTCTAATAGGACTCCTTTACCCCTTAAAAAGGCTCTATGTCTGTTAGGGCTTTTATATAATCAGGTTCTTTATGCTATTTTTTTTTGTTTGTTTGTTTGTTTTCTTTTCTTTATGCTATTTTATGATTAGGATATTATAAGCAATCATGCATATTAGTACCAAGGGCATAAATGCATTTGACTAACAAACTACCAGCAAAGGAGTTTAAATTAAATCACTCCTTTCACCCTGAGTAATCTCATAAAATACCACCACCTGGGAAACATAGATTACAGTTCTAAATTGATTCTTATTTGGGAAGAGATCGGGGAAGGCCTTCTGCCTGTGTCACAGAAATTAGGGAGTAGTCCATTGAGGCAGGCATCAGAAAGACAGATATCATCTTTAAGGTGAGCGCCGGGGACAGCTTTTCAAAATCCCTGAAAACCTGATCTGCCTTGCCTGTCAGTTTTTCTCCTCGTGACCTTGTTAGGGGTAGGGTCTAGTGTGTTGGCTCCCGGCAATTTCACTGTGTGTGTTAACCACAAATTGGCACTTGCCATGGGCACTGGCCATCTACCACTACAAGAATTAAACATGTGCTGCTGTTAGCTGCTGACCTCCAACACCCCACTGAAGGAGTTCAGGGTGGAGAGCTGGAGTGAGGCACTCTGCTCCTGGAATCTGGCAGGCAGGTCTTCAGATAGTTATTCTCAGGAGCTCATTTTATGAGTCCAATTCGTGTATCTTCTCATATCTAGAAAAGCACTAAAATCCTTCATGGTGATGACTGTTTCTCATGACTAGCAGAAGCTTCATGAGACCAACAGAAACTTTCTAAAAAGATAAATGTGCTTGATTGCATGTACTCCCCCTTTCACCAAAATCATGTATACTGTCCTTCTACCCATCTCTTTGGAACAGTTTCTCAGAGCTATACGAGGTGCTGTCTCCTGGGCTGCTGCCCTCATACTGCCCCAAATAAAACTTAACTTGCAACTCACATTGTGCATTTTTTTTTTAAGTCAACATGTGTGTGTGTGTGTGTGTGTGTGTGTGTGTGTGAATGTGTTTAAATATAGACATAGTATATAGCTACAGATGGGCTTCCAGAGTGGCACGAGTGGTAAAGAACCTGCCCACCAATGCAGGAGATGTAAGACACTCGGGTTCGATCCCTGGATCAGGAAGATCCCCTGGGGGAGGACATGGCAATCCACTCCAGTATTCTTGCCTGGAGAATCCCATGGACAGAGGATCCTAGCAGGCTATGGTCCATAGGGTCGCAGAGTCAGGCATGACTGAAGCGACTAAGCAGAGCACAGCGCATAGCCATAGATAGAAAGCTCTCATTTTCTTTATTCCATTCATCCATTAATAGACATTTAGGTTGTTTCCAGGTCTTAGCTATTATAAATAATTCTGCAATGAGCATGGGGGAGCAGATATCTCTTCAAGATAGTGATCTCATTTCCTTTGGATATGTACCCAGAAGTATGTACCATATGGGTCATATGGTAGTTCTGGTTTTCTTCAAAACTATTTCCACAATGGATGCACCAATTTACATTCCTACCAATGGTACACAAAGGTTCTCTTTTCTCTACATTCTCTCCAATACGTATCTCTTGTCTTTGGACAGTAGCCATTCTAACAGGCATAAGGTGATATCTCATTGTGCTTTTGATTTGCATTTCCCTGACGATTAGTGACAATGAGCACCTTTTCATGTACCTGTTGGCCATTTGTATAGCTTCTTTGGAAAAATTTGGTTCCTCTGCCCATTTTTTAAGATTTTTTTTTTTTTTTTGCAACTGAGTTGTATAAATGAGTTCCTTATATATTTTGGATATTAGGCTCTTATTTTGATATATGATTTGCAAATATTTTTTCCAATTCTGTAGGCTGCCTTTTCATTTTGTTGATGGTTTCCTTTGCTGTGTAGAAGCTGTTTAGTCTGATGTAGGTCCCACTTGTTTACTTTAAACTTTTAATGCTTGTGTTTTTGGTGTCATATCCAAATAATTATTGCTAAAATCAATGTCAAGGAGCTCTTTCTCTGTTGTCTTCTAGGAGTTTTATAGTTTCAGGTCATACATTTAGGTCTTTAATCCATTTTGAGTTCATTTTTAAAACTGAAGTATTGTTGATTCACAACGTTTCAGGTGTACAGCAAAGTGATTCAGTCATACATATATGTTATTTTTCAGATTCTTTTCCATTATGGGTATTACAAGATACTGAATATAGTTCCCTGTGCTACACAGTAGGTCCTTGTTATTTGTCTATTATTTATATCTTATTTGTCTAGGAGTATGTATCTGTTAGGAGAAGGCAATGGCAACCTACTCCAGTACTCTTGCCTGGAGAATCCCAGGGACGGGGGAGCCTGGTGGGCTGCCGTCTATGGGGTCGCACAGAGTCGGACACGATTGAAGCGACTTAGCAGCAGCAGCAGCAGCAGCATGTATCTCTTAATTCCAAATTACTAATTTGTTCCTTCCTCTCACTACCACGTTGATAACCATAAATTTGTTTTCTATGTCTGTGTGTCAACTTTTGTGAGTGGCTATTTGAATTAAAAAACATATGTATCTAAGACATCCTTAGTCATTTCACTCAGCTATTACCCAGCGAAATGCTACAGACAAATACCACTTCTGGAAACATCACTACTTGTAACAATCTTTCTTAGAGACATGTACTGTGCTTAGTTGCTGAGTCAGGTCAGACTCTTTGTGATCACACCGACTGTAGCCCAGCCTCCTCTGTCCATGGGGATTCTCCAGGCAAGAACACTGGAGTGGGTTGCCATGCCCTCCTCCAGGGGATCTTCCCAACCCAGGGATCAAACCTAGGTCTCCTGTATTGCAGGCGGATTCTTTATTTTACTTTGCTTTATTCTTATTTTACTCTGAGCCACCAGGGAAGCCCAAGAATACTGGAGTGGGTAACCTATCCCTTCTTCACGAGTCTTCCCCACCCAGGAATCAACCTGGGGCCTCCTGCATTGCAGGTGGATTCTTTACCAGCTGAGCTACCAGCGAAGCCCTTCTTAGAGCCATAGCTTTATTTTATTTTATTCCTACCTTTCTCAAAGCTACATTTGTATTTAACTCTCCCCTCCATCAAGACTCTTTCCAATCTTTGAGAAAATAGACTTGCTAGGAAGTGATTCACTATTTCAATCATTCATTTACTAAACAAATTTAACCAGTTTACTGAGGACCTACCAAACACAGGGCAGATGTTGAGGAGGCAGTGGGAAGCAAACAGCAAAACAACCTAGGGCTCCTTGGTCTGAGAGGTGTGTACCCATATCACAGTTCAGAAGGGGAATAAAAACAAGATATGCAGCTTCTCACTCAGCATCTCAGAAAACGTGACAGGACCCTCCCTGTCACTAAAAGCTTCGCAGACTGTCCCTATCTTGGTCTGAGGGCTTAGCAGGTGAATCTAATGAGAGGGCGGTGAACCCAATCTCTGGCGGCTGCGGAGGGGACCGACTGGACGTTGAGGGGATGGAGGCCGCGGGTCCCACCCACCGCTGTCCTGGGTCAGGCGTCTCCTCTGCGTCCTGGATCCGCGGCGCCTGGGCGCCCAGGTATCCAGCGGGGCCAGGACTCGCCCAGCCTAGTTCGCACCAAGAGACCGGGGGCGGCCGGGGTGTGGCCCCGCCCCGGGAGAGGCGTGCCGGGCCAGGCGTATTTGAGGCGCAGAGCTGGCCGCCGCCCTGGCAGGACCACGCCACCTCTGCCCGAGCCTCCCCTGCGGCGCGCGAGCCAGTGCAGAGGCGTCGGGTAAGTGGTGGGGGCGCCGGGACCGGGGCGCACACCCGCCTGCTGCAAGGCCAGGGCGCCGGGCGCTGCTCGGTGCGCGGCCCCCTTTGCCGGCAGGGCGGGAGCCGGAGAAGGGGGCTTGGCTTCCCCGGGGAACCGCGCGTTCTGGGTCCAGGTTCCTTGGCTTCGAGCCCTCAAGAGAGGAGTCTGAGATTCGGAAAGTTAGCAACGACTTACAAAGACTCACCTGCATTTCCTCGCGGCGGACGGGTGTGTCACCCTTTGCGGCGACTGGGAGGTTCAGCCCGTGCTTCGCGCCCGGCGCGCCTGGCGGCCCGTGGTGCGTAGTGGACGCGCATCCTCCCAGCTGCCTGCTCCAGCTGGGTGGGAGGAACCAGGTGCCCCTGCCTTCGTCCACGGTGGAGACTGCCCCGGCACTCTGTGGGCGGTTCCTCGACTCAGCTTGGCTGTGGGATGGGGATGAGTTCTGCTGCAGGCCAACAGCGTCCGGGGCTGCAGCCGCTCTCTGGATGCTGATCTCGGAGAAAATGGTGCTGCCCCAAGGCTGAGTGGGCATGTGCCCGGCTTGGCAAAGACTGCACACCCTGTTTTTGCAAATCCCAGTTCAGATTTGAGCATTAACGATCTCAGACCTGTGCTGGGGACATGTGGGGTGTGGCAGAATTAAATGTTGGCCCGAGTGTGCAGAGCCCTAGTTGAGGTGGGGAGGGGTGCTTTTAAAACATGTTTGGGGATTTATTCTAAATTGTGAGTTGATCAATTCAAAGCACTAACATGACTGCGCTTTGAAGAGTAGGAGCTCTGGGACACTGGGGTTGAGGTTGTGCCTTAGGCTTCATGCCTTGCCCTTAGCGATCCTGATTTCAGATACCTGGAATATTTGTAAAGTGACTCCTGGGAGTTGGGTTGCTGGACAATGAGGACGGTTTGACTTCAGTGACTCAGTCTGTTTCTAGGATTCTGGAATAGGAATGGAAGAGAGGCTCATTTCGTTCTGCAGAAAATGGTGGCAATTAAGAATTGAGCACTTAGCATAGAGCATGAGAAAAAATTTTCACCAACTTCCAAAATTCTGACTCATTTGCCCCAAATTTACAAAGTTGATCTTTCATGCTAGGAAATTGTGTTTCCATAAAAGTTCAGTAATAAAATTCATTGTCCCACAAGAATGTCCTTTTCAGACATTGTCTTTGAATCCCTAGAGTAGTGTCATCCATCCCTTTGATGACTGTGCCTCACCCTTAATCTATGGGAAATCGGAGCTGCTTAAATTAATCATATGGGGGGGTTTTGCTTAAAATCAGCATTCTCTCCATATTCTGGGGAGAAGTTTGATGATAAGTCTTGAATGTTTTGAGCTTAGAAATATTAGGTGGATGCCTCACCAAGGTATGTAAGAAGCAGAGGGGGAGCACTGTTTGATAGACTGACCCCCAAAGCTCATTTTTAAAATGTAGTAGGTTAGTCTCGCTGTGTTGAGAGGTCTTTAGTCAATGATATTTTGCTATGCTACAAATATGCAGAAGAGCTTTATAAAAAGACTTTTTACTTATTGCTAGCAAGGTCAAAAGGCCCTTATTGGTCTCGCCTATGATTTAGATACTGTTTGCCTAGAACTCTCTTTTGTCAGACTCTAAATCTTATCCCTAATAGAGATCTATATTCATATAGTAAAATTTGAGGTGCTTATGTTACCTAAAATACCAGTTGGCTTGTGAACTTCTTGTGCCTGAGACTCATGGTAACTGATCAAAAACTTAGCCTCCCTTTCCTGTTAGTTTGGGACAGAGGCTTCTGCTGAGGACAGCTAGTTAACATTTTGTGTCTGATGCCTGAATGGATTCTTCTCATTAAATTCTGAGTGGTAAGCCTGCCAGGGCAGTAATTCCAGTTTGCCGCTGACTAAGTATCATGTGTTTTCTCTTGACTGATATTCAGCTTTTCCATATTGGGGGTGGGGGTGGGGGAGGAATCAGTAACTGAGAGGTACAAAGTAACTTTAACTTCCTTATGGCTGAGGAACTGTGATGAAAAAGAAATCCTAGGAAAGGACCAGTTTCCTTTCCTAACTAGCATCTCTGAATTTGGCTTTGCAAATGAGCATTTCTCAAGCCTTGCTCCATGTTTCAGTAAGACCAGGAAGACCGCCTCTCCTGTGTTCTTTGGAGAGGAGTGTGGGCCGTGCTTGTGGTTCTGAGGAAATAGTTTATGATCTCCTTCCCTTACAGCTTTTATGAAGGTTGGGGCCCTTTGTGGGCAGAAATTTCAGAAGTCCTCCTGGGAATCCAGGCAACTGAATTAATTGCTACATGGGTCTAGAATAACATAGTACAGTGGATAGCAACTCTTTATTAAAGGGCAAAGCTGCAATTAACAGCAGATTAAAAGTGGTCTGCATTCTGACTCATGTTTAAATTTCTTGTTCCAAAGTGATACTGAACTAATTCCTGTAGGTTTTTCCAAATGTGAGGATTCAGATAGTATTTTTTAAATGCTTTTGCTTTTGATGTAGTGTTTCTTATCTGACTTCAAAATTCTCTGATTCTGGGAATGCCAGAGTTCACATACCTATAGTATTTGTATAGTGGGAAGTTTTTTTTCCCACATTTGATTGTCTCTTTATATAAGCTACTCATCTAAAAAGAAAGAAACTTTCCAGGCAAGTAGGAAGATGTTTATCCAAATAGATTTTTTAAAATTGTTTTTTGGTTCTCCTTTTAAGTTCTAAGGTTGCTAACCTTGATTTAAAAAGAACATTGGTTAGAAACCTTTCCATCAGAGATCTGATGGTTGGGAGTTGATATAATCAAAACAATGCATGCCCAACTTTTAGGAAAGTAAGCTTTATCAGTTTAAATGTGGTTATAATTAGCTAAGTGACTGTGCAAAATGGCATTCTTGTATTCAGTATCACTGGACACTGAATGAGTCACCCAGCTAGTTTCTGACAAAATCATGATCTCTTTTTTGTTTACGATTTCAGCATGTTCATGCAGTTCCGAATGAGTAAGCCAGAGAATTAATTTCTAAATGAAGTAACTAATACTTTCGAAGGACCATACTTTAAAATGTCAAAGTGTGAGGTTTGCTACTAGTATAAAATCAGTCAGAATTAGGAGTCAGGCTGTTTGGACTCAGGTCCCTGCCTGCCAATGACAATGACGTTGGGCCACCACGTTAACTCTCTGAGACTCAGTTTCCTCACCTTTGAAGTAAGGATACTAACTTTTCCCTGTCAACCTCATAAGATCATTATCAGAATCAAAATAAGAAAAGTACATGAAAGTGCTGTATAAACTGAAAACATCACACAAATACAGGGTGTCATTATTCTAATGGGCTTCTAATGTGTCCCAGCACAATCCAAACTGCCATCCTTGGTGTCACCTGAAACACAGCGGAAATAGTGGAATCTGCCTTGTTTCTCCAGTTGTTTTGGTCTAGTTGGAAAATGGGGCTTCCCAGGTGGCCCGGATGGTAAAGGATCTGCTTGCAATACAGGAGACCCAGGTCCAATCCCTGGGTCAAAAGACCCACGAGAGAGGGAGACGGCAACCCACTCTACTCCAATCCAAAATAAACTGGATATGTTTGAACAGAGACTTTGAAAAGAATAAATGTTACATTTGGGGCTAGCTGTCTTCGCATGAGTTTCTGGTTGTGATCAGCCTTTAAGCATATCTAAGTTTAACTGGATTTATATTAATAAGACGGGCTTCCCTGGTGGCTCAGCCTGTAATGGGGGAGACCCGGGTTTGATCCTTGGGTTGGGAAGATCCCCTGGAGGAGGGAGTGGCAACCCACTCCAGTATTCATGCCTGGAGAATCCCCATGGACAGAAGAGCCTGGTGGGCTACAGTCCACGGGGTCGCAAAGAGTCAGACATGACTGAACGACTAAGCACACATATTAATGACACTTTATGAGGCCAGTGGTACAGCTTTAGCTAGTTTTAACAACTGAAACTACCTTCCTGTTTTTTATTGACCTGAATGGGTACTTTTATGTGAGGATACATATCCTCATTAGCTCAGGCCAGTGGTTCTCAAGCCAGGCACAACTTTGCCCTCCTCTTGCTTCCCCAGGGTTATTTGGAAACATCTTAAGACCTTCTAGGTTAGCACAATGCAGGGGCGGGGGGCGGTTTGCTGTCATCTTGGGTGTTGAAGCCGGGGATGCACATGATGCACAGAAGAGCCCCTCCCTGCGAAGTATCCCACCTGAAATGTCAGTGACGCTGAGGTCAGGGATAAGCCCCGGCACAGTGGGGATATTTAAAAGAAGTCAAAACACTTACAAAGTTATTGCTGAGTCTTTACTGTGTTGCTGTGTTGCTCAGGAATGGAAGAATTTGTGTAATCAAAGGAACTAAACTTTCTGCCTAAGGTGAAGTCCAAAATTGTTTCTTTCTGGCGTCCAAAGTGAGAAGCTTTATTTCTTGACTTAAGAAATATCCTTTCAAAGGATTTCACAGGCAGTCCAGTGTTTAAGACCCTGTGCTTCCACTGCAGGGGGTACGGGTTCCATCCCTGATTGGGAACTAAGATTCCACATGCCTCACGGCATAGCCAAAAAAAAAAAAAGAAATGTCCTTTCTTTCCCTTTTCTGTAAGAACTCTTAAAGCTGTTTTTAAAATCTCTATTGATTTTGTTACAATATTTTATGTTTTGGTTTTTTGGCCACCAGGCATGTGGGATCTTAGTTCCTCAACCAGGGATTGAACCTGCTCCCCCTGCATTGGAAGGGGAAGTCTTAACCACTGGATGGCCAGCCAAGTCCCTGTAACAACCCTCAGGTTCCTCCTGTGGTAGCAGCATACTTCTCTAGGCAGTGGCAGTCTTGCGGAAGGAAGTACAGAGGAGCACTGACTTTCGCATTAAAGAGTCGGATATTATATACTAAGTGCAATGAAACAAGCCCTGGGAGAGTCTAAAGTCCCAATTAGATCACCTGCAGTTTCCAAGTTGGAAGATGGACACAGTGATAACCTGAGTGTATCCAAATTTAAAAAGAGATGTGCAAAAACAAAAAAATAATGGAAGGTAATATTGAACTGTATTATAAGTAACAGCAGAGTAAGGTAAAATATCTGGTGTATAAATGAAGCATACATTAAGTTCTAGGAGGACTTTTTGTCTGTTTTTGTTTTACCAAAAAGTCTAGTATTTTGCATTTTTAGGACCTATCAAGTAGCCACCATTTAGTGGATCATTTCTTAGAATAATTGAATAACTTTAACAAGTAGGCAATTTACGGCTTCCCAGATGGTGCTGGTGGTAAAGAACCCACCAGCCAGTGCAGGAGATGTAAGAGATGTGGGTTTGATCCCTGGGTCAGGAAGATCCCCTGGAGGAGGGCATGGCAACCCACTCCAGTTTTCTTGCCTGGAGAATCCTATGGACAGAAGAGCCTGGTGGGCTAGGGTCCATAGGGTCGCAAAGAGTCCGACATGACTGAAGTGGCTCAGCACACACATGTAGATAACTTAAGGAAAAAGATTCTGATTATTGAAGATCCAGGTAACTTTGACCATAGCACAGGTGATCCTGGGTGGAGAAAAGAACCCAGGCCTGAGGAATCCCAAGCTGCCTCCTCTCCTCACCGCCAGAGCACCAGCTCTGGGAGCAAGTGTCAAACATCTTGTTTGTTGGGAACTGGCACTGAGGGAGGAGCCAGCGAAGCAGGAATGATGGTCTCACGGCCACCCACTGATGCAGCTTTGGGCAAGGCCAACTCTCTTTGGTAGCATCCTACCCCAAAATATTTTCCTCCAAATTGTCTTTTTTTAAAAAACTTGATTTGTTATACTGCCAGATATTTTCGTTTGGAATAACAAACACCTTAAAAAAAAAAGCACATCTTGTGCTCGCCTTTCTTCGCTAATGCTTCATATCCCCAGTCTCACCTTTCTTTCAAGGTTTAGCTCAACACTGTTCCTGTTAGAAGTCATCTTTTCAGTTGTGACTTGCTGTAGCACATAGTCTGGCTCACAGCGCCCATTACTTGTGACCCTTTCTGGCCTCTGACCCTTTGATGATACATCTTGGCCAATTCCATCTTCAAACCCAGACCTGAGCCCGTGCAGTGCCTGGCGCAGAACAGGCACAAATTTGTGCAAATGAAGAAAGAAGTCAGCAGCAGCAGCTATGGCTTGGACATTGGGGTGGGCAAGGCAGAGACTGTCTTTCAAACACTAGGAGGAAGAACCAATGGCCTCCTCCTAAAACCTAGAAGAGGGTGTGGGGCTGTCAGTGGGAACCAGAGGAGAGGTGGGCAAGATTCATTTGATGAACACTTTTTATGAGGTGGTGGGAAAAAAGCACAGGAAGGAAGGTGAAGGAGAACCAAAGACAAACCAGGACTGTTTACATTTGTTACCTAGGAAATGGCAGAGTATTATACTCCTTGCTCTCCCACTTGCATTGTATGGCCTGTTACTTCCAGGATTCAGCCACAAGCTAGTGTGATTAGAGTTCAGTTATGAGTTAAATAGGGCCTGGTGATTCAGGTGGAGAGCATCCTCACCCTTTGAGACATTTTTATGGTTCCCTGCTATTGATTTTGGCATATTTGGAGAACAGACTTGTTTGTGTTAAGAGAATGCCTGTATATTGACTTGACCTGCACAATGAGCTGTTTGTGATGTTCATACAGAAACCAGTGAAATCTTTTAGGATCAAATGATAACCCCTATGTTTTTTTTCTCCTTTCAGGAAAATGGCAGACGGTTTTTCGGTAAGTGTTTTATGTCTGTTTTCCTACCTTAATATATATACATTCATGCAGGATGAGGGTTTTATTTTTTGTTGTTTGTTTTTTAACCACTCAAGTTTCCTGCTTAACTCTCCTACCACGTGGCTTCCTCTGGCCTTATCTGTCCAATGAGGGCTTGTTAGGTGGAGTCTTGTTTTTCCAGCAACAGGTTTGGGAAGAAAGCCAGGCAGAGAGAGAGAGGCCTCACTAACAGTAACCCCTTTACCAAAGGCCTAGGACAGAAGCTGGTGGATTCTGCCAGCAGGAACTGAGAAGCCAACTGAGCAAAGGGCAGTGTGGTTCATTCTGAGCAACCTTTTTTTTTTTTTAATCCTAAAGTGCCCTCAACTCCTTCTCCCTTCCCAAATGCTGGAGTAAGAAGCAGCCAAAACAAATTCCTATTAGTATGCTTATGTATTCCCAAATTCCTTAATGGAATAACTCACGTCACCTACAGCCCCAATGAGCTTTGCTCAGATTTATCCCGTTTGCTTTCCATCATCATGGAGCCCTCTAATTCTCTCTCCCCCTCCCCCAGGCCACATGGGCTCCCTTCACAGCCTCACTGTGTTGCCCCAACACCAGATCTAGGGTTGTGTTCCCGATGCATCAAAGACAATCCTGGCAGATCATATTCAGTCAACGTAGAAGTCTTTACTGGGCATCTTCCATGTACCACCTGGCAGTGTGCTGTAGAAAACAGGCAGGGAGAAAGCAGTCTCTCCCTGGAGAGAAAGGACACAATCCAACACTGGCACAGAGTCTTGCAGTCTGTAAAGGGCCGTCACAAATGCTGCCTCACTTGTTTGTCACCACAATCATATGAAATAGAGCATTATCCCCATTTTACAAACAGACACTAAGTCCTATACAGGTGACATGATGGCTCCAAAACTGGAGCTCTTGATGGATAACACTGGATTTCTTGATGGATAGCACTGGATTTTAAACCACATCATCTGACTCCACATCGCAGGCTCCTCCCTGTGTACCAGGCAGCCTCTCTGGTACTAGCCTGGATGCCACCAAGTGGTAACTTCCCTGGAGTACCTGAAGTGCAGTAGACATCCCGCAAAGGGAAGGCCAACACAACCAGGGCCAGCTTGGTGGAAGGTTTTGCAGCCAAAGAGCATACTGAGTTTTGTGACTATTTTTTTTTTTTTCATGTCAGTTAGAAAGTATGTGCTTTTACATAGAGGATGGCTAGCTCCTGACTTTAGCAAATTACAAAAAGGCAACCCTCAATGATCTGAGATGATGGGAGGCAAGAGTAAAGTGATAAAGCATGTATAATCCCATAGTTGAATTTTAGTCTTAGGAACTCAAAACTAAAAGGTAGGAAAAACATTATTGATATGAATTTCATATCTTCACCACATCCCTCTAATTCTTAGATCACATATTCCTGAAAATTCTGTTGTGATTGCTTTTCATCCTATAATTTTTTTAATGTTTTTTTTTTCCAGCTTAATGATGCCTTATCTGGGTCTGGAAAACCAAACCCTCAAGGTTGGCCTGGTTCATGGGGAAACCAGCCTGCTGGGGCAGGAGGCTACCCAGGAGCGGCCTATCCTGGCCCCTACCCCGGACAAGGACCTCCTGGGGCCTACCCCGGACAAGGACCTCCTGGGGCCTACCCCGGACAAGGACCTCCTGGGGCCTACCCTGGACAGGGACCTCCTGGGGCCTACCCTGGCCCAACAGCACCTGCTTATCCTGGACCAACTGCACCGGGTGCCTACCCCGGACCTGGGGCCTACCCGCCTCCTGCACAGCCAAGTGCCCCTGGAGCCTACCCTGCCGCCAGCCCCTATGGCGTCCCTTCTGGACCCCTGGTAAGATGGAGTGAATCATTTAGTAAACGTCAGTATGTTCAGGACCAAGTTAATAAACAACATGGCTGGGACTCCCAACAGTCCAGTGGCTAAGACTCCATGCTCCCAGTGCAGGAAGCCTGGGTTTGACCCCCAATTAGGGAACTAGATCCCACATGCCAAAACTAAGACCCAGCACAGCCAAATAAATAAATATTAAAAAAAAAAGAAAGAAAATGGCAATTGTCTGGAGCGGTAGCGTCATCACTTTGTAGTGCTCTGACTGGAAGTTGGCTCTGGGCACTGACCTGCAGAGGGCTTTGGGAGACCTGAAGCTTGAAACTCACTACTTAGAGCCATTTTTCAGGGACCAGGCACAGTGTATGTTGGTTCAATTGAAAAGTTAGTTTCCTGTGTTTAGTATATGTACTGTTAAAGAGAAGCTAATGTGTGTTTTGAAGGCATCTGTAAGGCAGCTTTAATATAAATCAAGTTAAGATCATAGTAATGGTTGTTATTATTACTGATAAACACTGGATATATAACATGTGCCAGCTGTGTGCTTCTACATGGATGCTCTCATTCAACTCCATAAGCACTCTGTAAGATACTGTTGTTATTGCCACTTTACAAATAAGGAAATAGGGTCAATAAAGGGTTATACAACCTTCCCGTGGTCATAGAGGGGAAACTTGGGGCAACCACAGTAATCTGGTTTTTAAAAACCTTCTAAAGATAATTTTGTGATCTAAGGATTGAATTTTCATTTATATTAAAATTCATTTTAATAAATGAATTCTAACCATAAGACCCAACTCTGGGGGCTCCAGACACATCTTCAAACAGTCTAGCTGTGAGAAAAGATACATATCTGAGAAAAGCGTTCAATAGCAGTGTGAGATCAGCCCCTTTCAGGAGTGTGATGGCGCAGGGAGTATTTGCTCTGCTTATTGGTCAGCTTAGAGGAGAGCAGAGGGACAGCATTGGGCACATGAGAGCCGATATGCAGGACCTGGACCACACACAGGTAGTCAGTTGAGACAGGAATATGGAAATTTTGGAAGGAAGAGGCAGTGGGAAAGAGATTGAAGAGGAGGAACCCCAGAATCTAGTGGTTAAGTCTTGTTGTTTTTGTTCAGTCGCTAAGTCAAGTCCGACTCTTTGTGACCCCATGGACTGCAGCACACCAGGCTTCCCTGTCCTTCTCTATCTCTTGGGGTTTTCTCAAACTCATGTTCATTGAGTCCTTGATGCCATCCAACCGTCTCATCCCTTGTCACCCCATTCTCCTCCTGCCCTCAATCTTTCCCAGCATCAGGGTCTTTTCTAATGAGTAGGCTCTTCACATCAGGTGGCTAAAGTACTGGAATGTCAGCTTCAGTATCAGTCCTTCCAATGAATATTCAGGGTTGATTTCCTTTAGGATTCACTGGTTTGGTCTCTTTGCTGTCCAAGGAACTCTCAAGAGTCTTCTCCAGCACCAAAAATTCAAAAGCATCAATTCTTTGCTGCTCAGCTTTCTTTATGGTTCAACTCTCACATTCATATATCATTGCTGCAAAACCCACAGCTTTGACTATACAGACCTTTGTAATCAAAGTGATGTCTCTGCTTTTTAATATGCTGTCTAGGTTTGTCATAGCTTTTCTTCCAAAGAGCAAGAGTCTTCTAATTTTGTGACTGCAGTCACTGTCTGCAGTGATTTTGGAGTCCAAGAAAATAAAATATGCCACTGTTTTCCACTTTTTCTTCATCTATATGCCATGAAGTGATGGGACCAGATGCTTTGATTTAGTTTTTTTTGATTGTTGAGTTTTAGCCAGCTTTTTCACTTTCCTCTCTCATCCTTATCAAGAGGCTCTTTAGTTCCTCTTCACTCTCTGCCATTAGAGTGGTATCATCTGTATATCTGAGGTTGTTATTTCTCCTAACAATCTTCATTCAGTCCAGCATTTCACATGATATACTCTGCACAGAAGTTAAATAAGCAGGGTCACAATATGCAGTGTTGACATACCCCTCTTGCAATTTTGAACCAGTTCTTTTGCAATTTTGAACCAGTTCATTGTTCCATGTCCAGTTCTAACTGTTGCTTCTTGACCTAAATACAGATTGCTCTGAAGGCAGGTAAGGTGGCCTGGTATTCCCATCCCTTTAAGAATTTTCCACAGTTTGTTGTGATCCACAGTCAAAGGCTTTCATATAGTCAAATAAAGCAGAAGTGGACATTTTTCTGGAATTCTCTTGCATTTTCTATGATTCACAGATATTGGCAATTTGATTTCTTGTTCCTCTTTTCTAAATTCAGCTTCTACATCTGGAAGTTCTTAGTTCACATACTGTTGAAGCCTAGCTTGAAGGATTTTGAGCATTTCCTTGCTAGCATGTGAAAAGAGTACAACTGTATGGTATAGTCTGAACATTCTTTGACATTACCTGTCTTTGGAATTGGGATGAAAACTTTCCTTTTCCAGTCCTGTGGTCATTGCTTAGTTTTCCAAATTTGCTGACATATTGAGTGCAGCACTTTAACAGTGGCAAAGAGTCTGCCTGCCAATTCAGGAGACACAGGTTCGATCCCTGGGTGGGGAAGGTCCCCTGGAGAAGGAAATGGTAATCTACTCCAGTATTCTTGCCTAGGAAATCCCATGGAGAGAGGAGCATGGCAGGTTACAGTCCATGGGGTCGTCAAAGAGTCAGACGTGACTTCGTGACTAAACACCAACAACAAAAAGTCAAGAAATGACTCTGGCTTTTCAAGGCTGGACAAGGAGGATGCCAGCCAAGGGTCAGCCCAAACCAGGAACTCAGGAAGTGGGGCAGATTAGGGAGGGGCAGGGGACACCACTGCAGTTCACACTGGTTGGATTTGTGGCACCAGTAGCAAAGCCAGATGGGAAGAAGCACAGGACTAATACAGATCAGATCAGAGCTAGAGAGAAAAAGACTTGGGCAATGGTTGAACCCAGGGGAAAACAAAGGAAAAAGAGAAGAAGCCAAGATAGAGCAGTGGAAATATTTATAACACCTTGAACGTAGACGGTCAGTAAATATTTGTCGAATGAACTGGGGAAGGTATTAACTGGAAAGTTCCCATTCAACAAACATTGAGTACTTGCCACATTTAAAGCACCACACAGGGCCTGTGTGAATTAAACATAAGAACACCTCAGAGGCCTAGAAGGTGCCACAGTGTTTGCCTGCAGGGAGCAGAACCACTAGGACGAACATGTCATGGCAAGGATCTTAAGAGTGGTATAGAAATGTGAGTGTTGATTGCAAGGTCTAGCTTAAGCCTTTCCCATGAGTTATAGATTAGGATGGTCCTTATCATGAGAGATACAGTCTCCAGAAGGGAACATGTTCTGTCTTTGGCACTAATTAACCGATGGCCTTTGTCTTGATTATTGTGGTTGTAGTTGTGTAGGGAGCCATCTCTCTTCAGGCCCTGGACAAGGTGGCCTGAGAGTCTGAAAAGATGGCTTAAAATAGGGTTACATGTTATTCACATACGTTAATAGTGGTTGAACTCTAGCAATGTCTTTTTCTTTCTTCCCTCAAGAAAACATGACTCTTTTTTTGGGGGGGTGGGTAGCTGCATGGCATGTGGGATCTTAGTTCACTGACTGGGGTGAATTAGGGTGAACTCACACCTCCTGCAGCAAAAGCATGGCATCTTAACCACTGGGCTGCCAGGAAAGTCCCCAGGAACATGACTCTTTATTGATATATGTGTATTTTTTAATTCCCAGAATGTGCCTTATGACCTGCCTTTTCCTGGAGGAATCATGCCTCGCATGCTGATAACAATCCTGGGTACAGTAAAGCCCAATGCAAACAGGTAAAGAGCAAAATTAGCAAGTCTAACATATTGATTGATTGGTTTTTGGATTAAAGGGTGATCTGTTTTAAATTTTAATAGAATTTTTAAAATTACATTTAGAATCTTGGCTATACCATAGTTTGTGATTTTCCCATAAATCAATATACAGTCTCACCAAGAGGACAAATCCCTCGCTGTCTTGTATTTTTCCCAGAACCAGAATAAAAATTTGTGAGGACAAAGAGGAAGAGCAGAAAAACCCGTTCTGTTGGTTCTTCCTGGCAGGGAAAGCCTTAGAATTAAAGGAAAGTAGACCCTTTATGATGTAATGTTTGGATATCCCTCCACCTCTGAGCCACAGATTGTCTAAAAAACAAAGCCCATCAAAAATTAGGGTCAAAAAGAAAAAGATGCCTAGTTGATCTGACAGCTTAAATATTATACCTCCTGTCCTCATATTGGTGCAATCTCCCTGTAGCTGTGAAAGTCATGATACACTCTCAGATTTGTGAGCTTGTTGCCATTTCCGTTTTCATACTGTTGGCCTGGTCTACAGATGATAAGTGACAAGATGGGGAACCCCAGTGTTCTGAGTGGACACTATTTACTTATTTTTGCTTTTATTTCTGAGTGGACACTATTTACTTAAAAGGTTTGAAAAAACTTTACAAGTTAAAGTTTTAACTTGTCAAATTAATTGATCAAAATAAACCAGTCTTCACCACTGGTACTGCTTTGGTTGAGGTGAACTAGAAGGGGCTAAGATTTTGAGCTCACTTTGGAAAATCCATGCTGATTTATAGCTGCGTTGGGACACCAGACTCTGGTTATCACCACTGGTTATATTTACATATAATACAAGCAGGCTAAGGTTATCCTGAAGCTGTTCAGTCTGTCTGTCCTTGAGGTTGGTGGTACCATTAGAGCTCCTACAGCCACTAATTAATCTGTTTCTGGGTCTTTTAGACAATGCACAAAAGGGACAAATTCAAGCTGTGTACACAGGTTTATTTAATTCTGTAAACAGCCTCTGTGAGTGCCTGTCACTTTGATCCTGGTGAATCAGTGGGAGCAACCTCCTCTGTTACCAGGAGGTGGACAGGTTCTGAGCAGAGCATTTTACATTCAGCCAACCAGTTCACTCCACCTCCAGCCAGCCTCCTCTGGTTCTATGTGGTAGTCACTACCTTAAGTTAGTTCTTCCTTCCACACAGCCTAGACAGCTTCTCTCAGCACAGTACTTCCCTACACAGTAAAACTGGTCTCACAGCAAGTTACAAAACATACTCATATATCTTCTGTGTACTCATCCACCTTTCCTCCCAAAATAACACAGGACCCACAGCCTTGATCCTGTGCAGGCAGCACTCATAATTGGGTAATATCTGCTCTCCTGAGGCAGCTGCTGTTAAGCAGAACCACAATGGCATCTTTGCTTTACTTAGGACTATCACACTAGAAAGGTTGGGCTTCTCAGGTGGCTCAGTGGTAAATAATCTGCCTGCCAAGCAGGAGACAAGGGTTCTAATCCTGAGTCAAGATCTCCTGGAGGAGGAAATGGCTACCTACTCCAGTATTCTTGCCTGGGAAATCCCATGGACAGAGGAGCCTGGCAGGCTACAGTCGATGGGGTCCCAAAGAGTTGGACACGACTTAGGAACTACATCACCACCACCACCACCATCACCACTAGAAAGGTTAGAGACTGTGGCAGGTTAAAATCAATTTTGGTTGAAATGATTAAAGTGGTGGTAAACTGAGAAATGGATTGCTTTGAGCTGCAAAATCTATGTGAAGAATCACATGAAAGAAAAAAAAAATCCTTAAAGTGGTAGAGATGACAATTACCTTTTCACTGCTGAGAAAGTACAAGCATTGCATATTAAGTCAAATACAAGTTCTATTGCCATTTGACTATATTGATTCTTTCCCTGTGAATTTCATCATTGATAGTTGGATGTATCTGTTACTGGGTGAATGAAAACACCCAAAGAATCATTGTTAATAGGTCTAGAATGCAGACCTTGCTTTAAGACAAGAGCTGCTTTTTTTTTTTTTTAATAGAACCAGCTGCTTCTGATATTAGTGCTCTGGGGAGCACACTTTTGAGAAACCATGTGGAAAGGGTAGTGCTTTAACAGCCAGAGAACTTGTGTTTGTATTAACATCCAAGGAGAGAGAACAGGATAGAAAGTTTATCCAGCACTTCCATTAATCCCACTTCACATCACAGAATGTTTAACATATTTATTATTATGACTTCACAACTCAGCACCAGGATACTGAACATTAACTATGTTATCTCATTCTTGCTGTTTTAGGACTAGGTTTTCCAGTTAACAATGAGGAAGCCAGGGATTTGATAGCACTTTATGTGACTGGTTTACTTTTAACAAGGGTTGAAAGTAACCTGTGAGGGCAAGAAAGAGGTAGCTGTATTTCCATAATGTCAGGTATAAAGTGCCCTCAAAGTGGCCCCAAACCTCTGCAGGGAAACCTTGACCATGTTTATATGTAGAGATAGTAAAAAGGGAAATACAGGTGAATAAGATATAACCAAAGACAACAAGGCTAAAACCTTAACACCTATTGTCTTGTTTACTGTGGGATACTGTGGTAGTTTGTCGAGTATAGTAGTGGCCCTTATCTGAGGTTTTGCTTTCCACAGCCTCGGTTACCCAAGGTCAATCACAGTCTGAAAATATTAAATGGAAAATTCCAGAAATGAACAATTCATAAGTTTTAAGCTGCCCACGTTGTACACAGCATGGTGAAATCTCGTGCTGTCCAGCCCCATCCTGCTGTACATCTGGTCTATTAGTTATCAGATCCAGTCATGGTACCCTGGTGCTGTGTCCACATAACCCTTATTTTACCTAATGATGGCCCCCAAAGCAAGAGTAGTGATGCTGGCAATTCATGTATGCCAAAGAGAAGCTATAAAGGGCTCTCAAAGTGAAAAGGGGACACTGCTCAATTCAATAAGGAAAGAAAACAATTATACACTGGGGTTGCCAAGATCTACAGTAAGTACAGATCTTTTGTCCATGAAATTGTGAGAAAGGAAAAAGAAACTCATGCTTTTTTTGGCGGGGGGGGGGGGGGGGTCATACCTCAAACTGTAGAAGTTATGGCCCCAGTGCATAAATGTTCAGTTCAGATGGAAAAGGTATTTTGATACTATTCATGGTTTCAGCCATCCATTGGGGGTCTTGGAACACACATCCCATGCATGAGGTAGAACTACTGTACTTTGCCCAGTATACTTTCCAGTTTGAACCCATTCTATGATTTATTTGCTTTCTGTTTAGAAAAGTGTCCTGTACTTTATAAATGATTTGCTCTTTAGAAAAGTATATGTTCTTCACTTGATACAAATGTACAACTTGAATCATTTTACTAACTGTGACTTTTGATTTAAAACAGACTTGCTTTAGATTTCAAGAGAGGGAATGATGTCGCCTTCCACTTTAACCCACGCTTCAACGAGGACAACAGGAAAGTCATTGTTTGCAATTCAAACCTGAATAATAACTGGGGAAAGGAAGAAAGACAAATGGTTTTCCCATTTGAAAGTGGTAAACCTTTCAAAGTAAGTTATTGCTATTATATATTGATAATGTCTATTTCTCATGGGGAATCAAGCTTAAACCACAACACACTGGAAATTAATTTTCATCAGTTGTCCTGGGACACCTGACCAGTACATCTGCTCCCCATCCCAGGGGAATGGTCTCAGAAATAGTGGCACATTCCTCAACTCCATTTAGGCACCTCACCATTGTCCTTGTTACCAGCCCTCTGAGTTTAAGATTTTCTGGAAATGAGAAACATAGCATCTTTAATTTAAAAGGCAGAAAATCTTTCTTTTTTTGGCCGTAATGTGAGGCATGTAGGGCAAATCTGCTCCCCCTGCAGTGGAAGCAAGGAGTCTTAACTACTTGCCAGGGAAGTCCCCTAGAAAGTCTTTATGATATAATTGGGCTGAGAGTTAATTCCTTAAAACCATAAGGTTAGCATGGCAATCGAAACTAAATTTTTTAAACTCTAAAATTAATTCATGCTTGTTTATGAAAAGAAAAATTTACAGATTTTTTTTTAACTAAAAAGTTCTCCATCCTTTACCCCTCCCCCATCCTCACAAATGTTACAAACGAATATCTTTACAGTGTTTTCTTGTGACAAGCAACACATTTTTTATTTTCAAGCATGGCTTCAACAAATATTAGGTCCACAGTGTTGGGTTAGGGTTGACTATACAGTGGGCAATAAAACAGCTGGACCATCCGCTCCTCAGGGGCGGGACCAACAGGGTCTGTATTCTACATCTGGTGGACATTTCCTTCTCAGAACACTGTCACCTAATAACACTTCATTGCTTAGAGATGCAGTCATTCAACCAGTACCCTACTGATGAAAATTTGGAGTATGGAAATATTACAAACAGATAAAACCTCGAAAGCTTTATTTATTTTACTAAAATACTGTGATAACTAGTCCTAATACATCTTTGCTTCCTAGAAGAGTAATTTTACTAAAAAAAAAAAAATGTTTAAGATTTAGATGAAGATATTGCCAAAGTGCTGCTTCCAAAATGTTAGAATTAATGCATCCTCTAACTACTGGGAGATTATGTTTCTCTTACTCTTGCCAAAACTGGTTATTATCCATCTTTATAACATTCACTTCTCTAAACAGAGAATTCCTACTTTAGCATTTTTATTTTTACTTTCAGTGTTTAAGACCATACAAAAGCTTTAAGTTTTTATGTAGAGGAATGATTAATCTTTTCCTCTGTGGCTTCAATTATATATCCTTTTAACAATTTATCATTTTGTTCCATTTAAATCTTTGAATAATTTGGATTTTTTTTTTTCTGGAAAGTTACCTTTTCTGACTTTAATTCATTCTACAAAGGATCAGAAAGATGAAATTTTTGACATCCAGAGCTTAGGCTAGACTGGTTTTAAAAGGAATGGGCATTTCTAACAGTTTTGTGTATGTGTCATTTCAGATACAAGTGCTGGTTGAACCTGACCATTTCAAGGTTGCAGTCAATGATGCTCACTTGTTGCAGTACAATCATCGGGTGAAAAATTTTGGGGAAATCAGTACGCTGAGAATTTCTGGTGACATAACTCTCACCAGTGCTTCACACACTATGATATAATCTTAAATGGGCAGATACTTTTTTAAAGAAATGAATTTGAACATAAACCTTACACATTTAAAAGTTTCATGTTAAGTATGAGTGAAAAATTTTACCTTTATTCATCAATGTCCTTCTTGTAAATCACTGATTTAATAAATATTCTAAGAGTTACTTGTCTTTACATGTAATTTAATTGGGGCAATTTATTGTTAAGTCCATTGTACAATGGACTTAAAGGAAAAATAAATATATGGCAATGTTAATACTGCATTAGAGTCTCCCAGTTTTCAATATTTGAAACTATATTTTTAAAAAGAAATCAGGAGTAAATACTACCACAAAATTTACCTCTCTCTTCTAGAGTTTGGTAAAAACCAATGGATACTACAAAAAAAATCATTCTCCTATTGTCTTACTTAAGGAAACATAATATATTCAGGAAATAAGAAAAGCAAAGTTTATATACATATGACCTTTTGGACTTCTTTTAACTATTTTATCTTTCTAAACTATACTTCACACTATCAGATCAGTAATTTATACCAACATCAATCTTCCTGTGGGGTCCTTTGGTTTTATGAAATCTCCAGATTTGTAGAAGGAAAAAAGTAGGTTTTTATTTGGAAATTCCATTGTCAATACTGTATCAACCATGCCTTTCTGCCCTTCTTCATTACCAGGAAGGTCAAAGATTAATATAATTTCAAAACTTGGATATGCTCAGACCACTTCATTTTATAAAAAACCAAAATATTATTTGATCTGTTACTGTTTCTCCAGTACCATCTTCTCAAATAATCTATTGGCACAGGTTGTGTTCCCCAGGAGGCAAAGAGATCAGAACGCAGGAGGTTTATGAGGAAGTATATGCCCTTTTTTTCAACAGCCGTGAAGACAAGAAAGTACCCGACTGGGCAGAGAGAGAAGTGGCGCATCCATGCCTCAGTCTACCCTACAGGGATTCTGAGCTGGGATGATCCTTTAGAGTTGTCAAGACGGGGACAGCCTTCATATTTTCACTTCATCCCATTTCGTTTTTCATTTTTGGAAAAGCTCTGGTTCTACCCAGTTTTCTTTCATTTTATCTTTAAAGGTTTTCTTAATACCTCACAATTATAGAATCCAGTAGCCCAAGGGCAAATTGATGGCTGCCTACCTGACTCATTCCCTGCAACCTAATAGTCCTGGTTTTACCCAGGTATAATCCCAGGTAAAGCAGGGGATCCTGATTAAGTAAATCCCAAATGAGATGCAGATGGAGATGTGGCATTAGTTGGCCTAACCAAACTAAAAGGAAAGAAATAGCTCTGATTACCACTAGCAGCCATCTTATCACCCCAAAGGACCCAGCATTAGAGATGCTGACACCAAGGATGCCAGAATGAACTGTGAACAGATGTTGGACCTTGATGTATCATTGAGCCATTGACTATAAAGTGCCTGAAATAACTTCCTTATTGTTAAGCCAATTGGAGTTCATTGCATTGTTACTTAACAGCCAAAAGTTTTCTAAGTGATTCAACAGTACATCTTATTAAACCTAAAAAAAAAATCACGTTTACTGACTGACATTGTTTTATTCTCATCTACTTTATCAATGGCAACCCACTCCAGTATTCTTGCCTGGAAAATCTCATGGGCAGAGGAGCCTGGCAGTCCACGGGGTGGCAAAGAGTTAGACACAACTGAGCATGCACACACTGACTTTATCCTTGAGGGCAAGTATTATCTTATGTTACATATTGCTTTATGTATGTTCTAAGTCTTGGGTTGCTCTGTACTCATCTCTTTTACATGGTCACGGCCCTCGACCCTTAGAAAACTCCCAACTTTGATAATACTATCTTTTCTACAAGCCCAACACAACTTCCTCTGACAACAAAAGTGGATGTGCTTTTCCTTTCTTGTTTGGAAGGCCCTCATCTTAAAGAATTATTCATAAAGTTGCTGCTTGTTTGGTGAATACCTCGAACACTCACCTCATTTGCAAACAGAAATAACTGGCCCCAGGTCTGATGGCAAGCTTTTGCTACTATCAGTCATCTTAGTGCTCTGTTGTATGATGGCCCTGTCTTCTACAATCCTATAGTCAAGAGTTTTATAAAGGAGAAAGTATTTCAAATATACTGATGGATATCTAAAGAAACTCAACATATGAAATTGCAATATGCAAGCTATTCAATATCAACAAATTTAAGAGTTCAAACTAAGTATAAAAGAATGCAAATATTTGTTAAAGTTTAACATTGTATTTCAATTAAAATGAAGAATGTTAGTAAGCTCTGAGTAGGTATACTTAACTTTTAAGCTTATACATTTTACACAAGAGAGGCAAGGCAAGTACATTTTTATTCTGCATTGGTTAATATACAACATATCCCCACTTCCCTTGAGAAACAGTATCATATCTAAAACACACTTTGATGAACACTGAGTATTAAAATATTACACAATCATTCCTCAGAATCCTGAGGGGGGTGGCTGGATTGGTCCCAGGATCACCCCCTCCCCTCACACACACACAGATACCAAAATTAAAGGATGCTTAAATCTCTTAACAGCAGGCCCTCAGTATCCACAGGTTCTGCATCCACCTAAGGAGGGCCAACAGTCTACAAGTGGCTTGAACAGCAGTGAACACAAACACTCTTCAACTTTTCAGTATTCTAAGAATATAGCATGGAAAACATGAAGAAAAATGTCTGGATTTGTTTTTAAATTCAAAATTCTTCTGGTTGTTCTCCACTGAGAGGCCTCAGAGGTGAAAAGGAAATCAGGTTACCACCAAAGGAAATGTGTCTGGTCTGTTCTTGATGTCTTCTCTCCATCTGAGTGAATGTATTACTGCAGTTTAGGCCTGGCTAGAGAAGAAATTTAGAGAAGCCACTAAAGTAACTATCAAGAGTTTTATCAAGTGAGTGTTCAATCTTTCAAATTTTCAGTGGATTGATTAATAATATAAATGACATTTTTTGTACACAATGATAAAATTCTTAGTAACATAATGTTATGCTACCCTCCATGGATCTAATTTCAAAATATATATATTTTTTTAATTGAAAAGTATATTAGGAATATATACCTTATATTTGGAACCTAGAAAAATGGTACTGATGAACCTATTTGCAAGGCAGGAACAGAGATGCAGACATAGAGAACAGACTTCTGGATGCAGTGGGGGAAGGAGAGGGTGGGACGGGGTGGAAGGTGAGGGGGAGCTTCAAGAAGGAAAGCACCTATGTATACTTACGGCTGATTCATGCTTTTGTGTGGCAGAAACCAACACAACATTGGAAAGCAATTATCCTCCAGTTAAAAATAAATTAAAAAAAAATAAAACATCTTAAAAAGGAATACATGCCTTAAAAAGTGACAGACTTCAGTAACACATGCAGGATGAATAAAACTGAGGCCACTTATGCAGATTCCACACATCCTAGTACACATGACTGTAATTAACAGGTATTTTACTGGTGTGATCCTGCCAGGATCCTTTTCTTTGTTCTCCCTCAAGCCCTACTTCAGGTTTAAATGATGCACAGAGCTAGTAATAATGTGGGTCTAAAGGTATACCTATTAAAAAAATCCTAGAATATAAATCCTAATATTTATGGGAATGGAAAATAACTCACAGGGAGACTAAGTTATAAGATACTAAGATTTATCAACAATAAATGTATAACTGAAGCAATTTTATTACTAATATATCAAAAACAATATTATGATTAACTTCTACACTTACTTATAATATCATATATTATCAGAACCAATCATTCAGAGTTCAGAACTGGGAACAAGATTAAATCAGGTTTCTATAAACTGGCCTCATGCTGAAATCCCTGTCCTTTAAGTGTCAGCCTCTGAGTAAAGAAGGCTAAGGCCAAGAATGAACAGTGCACATCACAGTAATCATTCTGCTCCTGAGATACAGCGAGGCCGGAAGGCTGAATATGGAGAAGGCAGCCTTAAAACATAATAAAAGTCAACATAGTCAGAGGTCCGTAAGGAATTAGTGGCTTTAGAAAGCCAAGCCTTTGTCAGGCTTCGTGAGATTAACAAAAACTGTTTCTGTTTTATCCTACATTTGCCTTAATGAATTTTTTATATTCTGAGATTCAAGATTAGCAAAAAAGCCCATTCCCGGACTCATTTTAATTGTTCCTGGAAAATTTCAAGGTAAGGCTGTAAACCAGAGTTGCTGACCCTGGCTACATGAATTGCCTGGTGAACGTCCAAAACCAGATCACTGAAATAAAAATATCCAGGAGTAGGGCTGAAAACCAATGCTGCAAACACTCAGTAGGCAAGAGAGCACTCTTCCATTTATGTCCTACTATTCAGTGCCAGCATCCATGAATACGAATCAGACAGCTCTGCCCAAAGAGAAACTTATAGTTAATAAGGGAAATAGATTCCTGAAAGCATCATATGTTTTAGGAATACAGTATTATTTATTCATATTATACTCTTAAAAAGAGATTAAATGTGTGTACTGCATATATTGTATGCCTGTGTCTACAGAGAAACATACAAGAGATGAGAGCTTTTACAGGAAGGCTTCACAGACAGGCAAATGTTTGAACTAGACTTAGAGGCAAGAAGTCACTAAAAAGTAAAGGTTGGGGGGCTTCCAAATAAAATAATAGGACATAAAAATAGCAATCTAAAAGAATTACAATGAAAATAAGCATTGATGACTGAAGGTAGGATAGACATTTTCTTCTCAACTGTATACTTCAAAAGGGTATAACTCTTGCCTTATCTTTTTCTTGCATCACTGAGAAATACTGAGCATACTACATATTCAAGTATTCAACCAATTTGTCACAACAAATTTGATACATAAACCATATAGAGAATTAAATCTTCAGTTTAATACTAAGGCATACTATAAAGTATATGAAAATTTTTTTCCCATTTGGAGAAAAAAATGAACAAAAAAGGACTTCAGAGTAAACACTGACAAGATGTACATTTTAAACTATGCATATAAACTGAAAAATAACACTCATTTTATA